GCGTCTCATCCTGAGCCAAGCCCTTCATTGCCCCCGGACGAATATGAACCACCTTGGCAGTTTGGACAGGTCTGTAGCAGATGGAGACGCATCTCACGATCGCTTCCTGAGTTGTGGGGAAGCACAGAGATATCTCTCGATCATGGTCAAGATATAAGCAACTTGCGGTGTGCCGCCGCCACACTTCCAGAGGTCGCCAAGGTATCCTTGCAAGTCTCGGATGCCGTTACGAACATCCCGGCGAAATCAATGAAAACCCTAGCATCACTTCTTTCGTGCGTTACTGAACTGGAGTGGGATATGGAACGTGCCCGTAAAGGAGCCATGATTGACTTTCCTCCCAACTCTCTCTCTCGCCTCGTCAAATTGACTTTACACCTACCCCGTGACAACTCTGCAGAGGGTTACGAGAATCTTTTTGGCACGTCCTCGCGCTTGCAGCAGCTGAAACTAGAATCAGCCAGTCCCACGTTCCTCATCAACTCAAATGTCCCTTGGTCGCAGTTACGCTCACTTGAGTTCTCTGTTGGAAGCGAAAGCGCTTATCTGGGCGCTTACACATGCGATGCTTGGGCGCAACTCGCTCAAACCAACCCGTTCAGCACCATGACTAGTCTTCGCGAACTCACGATTGATCTGTGCGAGAATAAGCTGTATGGGATAATCATTCCCTTGGATTTCCCATGGCAGCAGCTGAAGACTGTGCGCATCTTTCTGCGCGCCCGCACGCGTCCTAGTACCGACCTCCTCGGCTTGCTATCCGCCCTGAAGAAGTGCACTGCTATTGAACATCTTTGGATGGAGATTGACATGCCCCCCATGAAAGGTTCCCCCGATGTGGTCTTCCATTTCCCGGCTCTCCAATCGCTATCCCTTGAGGGGCCTTTCACTCTTCCTATGGTCAACTCACTTACGGCTTCAGGCACAGTACGATCGCTGGATTTGCAGACAGTTGGGCTTTCTCTCCCGGAGTTCTATTCTCTTATGAAGCATTGCCCTAATCTCACCGAGGTCGACTCCACTATTACCGGCGGACAGACTAGTTCGACCACAGACGTAGTCATGCCACAAATCGAGCTTCTGGTCCTCCATGTCCAAAACCATTCGTCCTTCCCTGACCTTCTGATCACTCGGTCTCTTACGACTCTGAAACTCTTTGTCAGATGCCCTATAGGCGCACTCAATGCTACCCTTCGCCTTATCGAACGATCAGGCGCAAACATCAAAGACTATCAATGCGAGCAAGTTCGAATCGTCAGCCAATCCATCCGACCACAGGAAGATACTCTCCGGAGCCTTTTATCGCTTCTAAAATCCTGCACTTCTTTCAGCATCGTGGGATTCATCGCCGAAGATTTTTATGAAGAAATTTCAACGATGGCAGTCTTACCTCGCCTAAATAATCTCAGGCTTAATGCGGCAAATGGAGACGCATATCTAGATATGCTGAAGCGACGCTTCAAACTGGAACAGGAGACGGTGGGCCAGATCGTCCTCAAGAGCGGAGGAGTTGTTTACGTGCCGCTAACGATTGATGAATTCGCCGGCATGAATAGAGCGTTGCAGGAGCTGGAGAAGGAGTTTGGCGTCGAGCTTGAGTTGATTCTTCCAAGTGTAAGCGGATTTCTGTTGTACACTCATACCAACTTTCTAAAAACATGATTTCTAGGACTAATCCTGATCGATATGGGTGATCATATCATGAAACAATTTTACTACATATTCCGTATACCTACACTGGATTATACCGCTTTTAATCATGTTGATGAAGTGTACCTATTGTGTAACGCCAGCAATACGCAAGATTCAGACATGAATGTAAGATGTGCCACCGGTCACGGTATTCATTCTGACAGACCGGTTGATTGCCGTTCAGACTTGTTGCAAGTTTGTGGGCGCCTTTTTTCTTTCCAACAGCCAACTATACATAGCCAGCTGCGTTCCACCTGTCATACCTGTCATTTTTTCCATCCCTCAAAATGGCTGTTTCCCTATACAGCAGCTCTATTCTTCTGGTGCTAGACCCCTTTCTTCTTGGTCAAACGCTGGTAGCACTGACGCTACAAGACGATCGCAGGAAATTCCGAAAGACATCTCTCAAAATGATGCCCAAGGAATTCGAGAGGCTTCCTCCCTTGACGCACGGCAACAAATATTACTTTACGAACAGCTGATTAACCGCTACGGCGAGTTACCCTACCTCGTTGTCTGACTTGCTCTACTCTTGTTCGGCCTTGGGGCCCACATCCTCTCTGTCAACATGCTCAAAAAGGTTGGTCGTAAATTGTTCCATACACCAAAGCTCAAATTTTGCTATCACAGGCGCAACACACGATGTCAGAGAATGGTATCGTGGATCCCGACTTTGATAGCTTGATAGATAGGTATTCTTACGAGGGACAGGAGAAAGTAACACGCGAATCAATGGTTACAAGTCAAAGTACGATCTTTTCCTTTCATAATGTTCCATCGACAACCTTACACGCAACACATAGTTCAGTTCAACCAGCGGTGGAAACCAACGAGCAATCATCCCTTCCCTATCATACCGTTTCCACCTGCTGAAGCAAAAGACGTGTTGGACGAATGGGATTCTCTCGCGCCAAGTGGCTCAGAATTCCTGCACAAGTACATGCGACATGTCTGTATAGAGACGAACTACATTGAGAACATATTTCTCCTCACGGAACGAGTAAGTATATATCTCTCAGTCCTGGGATCGATTGCCTTATCACAGCATTGAACCATAGTCCTCTCAAGACATCATCTATCGTGGCGTCGCAAAAGCTACAATACAGTGCCTTCCCGCTAGCAACATTCAAGATCCAGAGATCGTTCGGCTAATACTACACGATGAGCTCTCGGTATGTTTCACCAAACACTCTGTGCCTCGCGCTCTAGATTCACTATACGCGCCTTACCTCGCAGGCGTACGAGATGTTGCCTCTCATCCAAAAGCCTTCCGACCTTACACGCGAAAAGTTTTGCCAAATCCACGCGATACTCATGCGCACCTGTCGGTTCTCCGAATCCGGTAAATACATCGCTCCCAGGAAAACGAGGAATGAAACGAGGAAAACCGTGGTCATCGACGGAACGACATGCGTCGAAACTGCACCTTACTTTAAAGTGGATAAGGAGCTCGATTATATTTGTCGGATGGTCAAGGTTTGTGCCTATTAGAGGTCTTTGATGTCTTGTACGATAACTGATATTTTTGGCATTGTGCGCAGCAATGGGCGACAAACTGGCGCAACTCCTTCGCAGTCGCAAGTTGGTTCTATCTCATCTGTCAGATGCCACCCTTTCGAGGTTCGTCCCATCACACATCGTTCTTGCCTTTGTCTAATCAGGGTGAATGAAGGACGGAAGTGCTCGCGTAGCACGGATTGTTGCATCTATGCCATTAGTTCGGGCAGGATATCCACCCATTTCAATGAACTTTGATCAGCGGCCGATGTTCTTCGATGCCGTCAATAAGGCATGTAGCTCTTTGCATTCTTCTGCCACTATATATATTCAATTTTAAAACGTCTTTATAGGCACACAGCGGTGACCACGGGCCCTTGATTCAAGCCATGGTCAACGGTATGATGGCGTCTATAGCCTCGGTGAAAAAACTCCAGTGAACAGCTTCACGGTAGACGGTTATCCAATCTGCTATCCTTCATCCTTCTTTCTTATTGTACTGATTAGTATAAACGGATCTTAATGTTGTATTATGTGCTATCAATACTCTCTTAGTCTCACTCGAGTGAACAACGTGAAGTGTTACGAAATGGTTTCATCAAGTATACTGTCACCACGATAATAATAATGAAATACCAGCTGCTACAATCGTCCCTCTAAGCAGGCGATGGAAGAGCAGGTAGGTTGCCGGGAGCAGAGGGAGGACTAGGCGGAGCGTCAGCAGCACGGGGATGGTACTTGTGCCCTCTCTGCTTTTGCTTCATAGACTTGCGTGGTGGCTTCGGGATGCGATTATAGTGAGAGGGATACCTGTGAATATCGCGTCGACGGTTGTCGCCCCCTCCGTCTAATTCATAGACAACTCAGTCAAAAACCGAGTCGAGCTAAATGCAAACGTACACGAGTCACCACTCTCCTCCGAAGTCGGGTTTGAGTGGGAAATCTTGCTAACGACAAACTTATAATCTGGATATAGCACTGGTCAGTTAATCAATTGTGGTCAGCCACCAGAATCAAACATACTTGGACCCGATGGGCTATTGTTGCCTTGCGGCCAAGGCATGTTTTGGTCGGCGTCGTCAAACGTGGTAGTTGCTTGAGCTGCAGAGATGCCGCGCTTTTGATTCGACTTGACTGTGTCGACAATCGTCCTACCAGGGCGTGGATGAACTGCATAAATCGCGTTATTTCAGTCTATGCGTGGAATAGACAAAGACGGGGTAATAAAACAGCATATACATACGATTTATAGGCGTTGGGTCGCGTGGGACGACGATTCCAATATCATGCGGACCAGGACGGGTGGCGGCAGCGAGGTAGGGCAAGGCGAAGACTGCGAAGGAGGTGGCGATCAAGAACTTCATGATGTGAAGAGTAGTAAAGTAAAGAGTGCGGGATAGAATTGTACGTGTGCGCGAGTGATGAGAGTCGATGAGAAAGAGAGGAAAGCAAGGTGGCGAGGTTTATATAGTTTGGGGAATTAAGGTTTGTATTTGTTTCGCCACAACACCCAGAGCTATTTTAGTCCCTCAATCAGCAGAGTGGTCACAATACCTGTCAATCGCTTGCAAGTTGTTGAAAGTTAGGTAGTCTTTTCCTGAAAGTTGAAATATGTGACGCAAGAACAAAGCAAAGATGGGACCACTCAATTGAAAAGACGCTATGCATGTACATAGTTATTGGTCGCAAGAAAAATCCAAAGCCTCCTGAACGACGTTGAACGTTGAATGCTGGTGGGGCGGGATTTACGATGTTGCAGAGCATGTGCTATTGATCCGTGTGTAAAAAGAAGTCGACATTGGCCTATACGATGCATTAAGGGGGAATCGAACCCCCGGCGGGTCGAGAATGCATTATTGGCAACGACCCAGGTTACCACTACCCCATTAATGCATGTCCGCTGGAATAACAGACTTCTGTAAGTTCGGATGCCTCGTGGTTACGCTGCCTTAATAATAAACACCAGCTCTGGGAACAATTTGGATATCAACATATATACTAAGATGACAGGCGAATCAGCTAATCCAATTCCTTCTCGAAGAACATCAACATCTCTTCTTCAGGCGCCCGCATAGGCATTGATGGCAGTCGCGAACGAAGCCAAGAGCTGGCTCTGGAGCGTCTCTGCAGCAGTTAGAATGCTCGACTGTAGAGATATTATCAACGCCCTAGACACGATACACACGGTTTAGAGAAGACGCACCGGTGCAGCAGCAATGAGTGCCGCCGCCAGATTGAAGGTGGATGTGTTGAGGTTAGCGAGATCCTCCTGCACGAGACCAGCGAGGTTTTCGAGGTTAACCTGCTCGAGTGCGGGGAGAAGAACGACGATCTGGCTCAAGGCGTTGTCGATAGTTGGCTGGAGAGCTTGCAAATCTGCCAGGATTGTTTGCCCATCAGAATCGGAGATGGGTAGAGGTACTGACTGATGGAGCCGTTAGAAGAGGAATGAGAATGAGAATACAAAGTGAAGGACACATACTTCGACATCCGCAGTCGTCGAGTCGACAGTGTTCCCGAGGGTCACCGCATCATCATGAACGGTCTGCAAGATTAATATGAGGAAGAGGAGGGGAAACTAGCGACAGACATACCAGAGCACCTTCAAGTGTCGTAGTGGTTGTGCTGGTGTCGACATTATTGATGTCGTTGTCGAGGGTGGTAAGCTGCGTCGAAATTGTGGCAATGTCGCTCTCAACCTCAGCGACGGTGGCCGCATAAGATGAGATGGCGACAGAAGCGAGGACGAAGAGGCTTGAGAAACGCATAATGAGAAGAGAAAAATGCACAATAGGTGGCTTGTTGCTTGCGAATTCGACGGGAATGTGGGGCCTTTTATAGGGTGATTCCTGCACGAATGAATAGAATGTTTTCCCTTCTCGCGTTCTCCGTCCTTCCGCGGAAGCAATCCTTGGTCGCTGCGATCTGTATTCGACAGGCCACGGGATCCCATACGCCATTGTTGATCAACGTTGAACCTCGAAGCTGTGAAGCTCACGAGTTCTTTACTGTGACACAAATTATTCTTGAAACACGTTCCAAGCACGTTGGATGACAGCTGCACATTGTTGTAAAAACAGAAGGCAAAGTCAGCTGGGAGCCTGTCTCGATGGTACCTCACTTACTGTGCCTTTTTTCGCTTTCAACATTACCACACTGAGTCAATAACACCTCCAACAAAATCACCAGGTCGAGTTCCTATAAGGTCATGAACCAGTAGGTTGCGTTCTATCGTGGGTTCAACGCGCGCTGGAAACAATGGACATGGTTCTAAAATAAGATTGCTCCACCGGTGTAACCTGAAGAGAAGTGAAGACCTGGAAATAGAGACATGGAGGAAGCAGTACCTTTACAGTGCATCTTCGAGACTAAAGTCATGTCTAATGGATGGCAACTGGTCACACGGGTACATGCATGTGTTTCGAACGACGAGTCCGCCAAATGTGATATCGTCGAACCCATTCAACCGGTGGATGTGATTGTCAAAACGTCGCAGTCGCAGTCATATGAACATGGGAGTCCATGCCATGTTTTCCTGGATTGCGTCTTTAGAGTGGTTTAAAAGTTGCGTCATACATACTTACCGTGAACCCGTGTCGTGGTATAAGGCGGAACATCAATGTTTACGGGGAAACGAGACCTTTCTCTCTGTGAGAGAATGTGTTGATGTTGAGAAATTCTCAGCTTGTGAAAATGCCTCTGATGACACATGATCTAGCCGTATGGATTCCATTCCTTCAAATACCAGAAGGCCGAAGAGACCGTAGATCAAGAAGAAGGATTAGACCCATTTTCATAAGCGCCCTCCGTTCGTTGACTCACTGATCTGTCGAATTATTCTACGTATTCTTGTGAGGATTCACGAGAGGAATTGTGCGAACGTCTCCGTTTGTGCAGCGTGAGATGGGCCATGTGGAAATGTCTAATTATCTCCGTCAAGCGACCAAGCTATAGATCACAGCGTATTTGACATCTGCGCAGGCATGACGGAGCATGATGGAGGAATTTCAATAAAGCGGGCAGCCGGGCAGTGCCAATGACAACAATGGGTTCTATTTGATAGCCAAGTGTCAAGTTACACGAATCACAAGGCAATAGGCATCGGTGCTTGAAATATTGGGCCAGGATGGCATCCGGAATTTGAGAAGTTCTAAAAGTGTTTATGTCCCAACTAAATCGCGCTTTGAGGTAAGCCAAAGGAGAATCCAACACAAAATGTGAACACTGAGAACGCACAGAGTCCCAATGACCTCTCGATCCATTGCTCTCCCTGCAAAATGGTCTTCTCGGATTCTCGCACAAAAAATTCTAGAATTAAACTGATCAGCCTGCCTGGGAGTTGAGCGTGACGTCGAATTTTTAGAGAAATAAGAGAGCCTGCCAGAGATGAACAAAAAAAGAAGATCACAAGACGACAAAGCACAAATAACGCGTAAATAACGCACAAACAGCATTTGGCGGCAGTGGCTGTGTACTTAGTTGCCATGCTTGTGTTACAACGAATGCCCCCATCTCACAGTGCACACACACGATTTTAGCTTTGCCTATACACAGCACAGGAAACCATCTCCTTATCGATGCGACTGTGGGCACCAGGTTGGGCGCTAATCACTCTTCTTAAATGGACGCAGCCGATATGACTCTGACTAACTCCTTTGCCCCCTCGTGTGTCTGGGTTGGAGCCTTGCGATAGTGAGTCGCCTCTCGAATTCAGACACATACAACTCGATAATCCTAGGTGTAGAATCCTTCATCCGTATCTCCTATCTTGACGAATCCAAGTTCACGCACGATCATTTCACTGAGCCTGAGCGCCTAACCCATCATGATGCCTCCGCTCGATATCTGGAGATGGAACAGCCTCTGGGCTCTTCTCGTCGGTACACTCTGGCACACGGCACAAACATTTTTCTACTGGGTTTATGATAGGACGCGTTTGGGTGTGCCATTTCGAATCAGTGTGCGATCCATGTCTAACAGGGCGTCTAGCCTTTTGTACAACAGCCGAGTTTACCAAAGGCGATCCCTCGTATGATTGGGTGTTCCATTTCCTCGTATGTCCATTCCTTATTCCGTGTCGCGAATACTCGATCCATCTACTCGCTATAACAGGCCGAACAAAAAGCCTGGCACAACTCGCGACTGTTCAAGGTCAAGCAGAGAGGCAGGAAGAGCAAATGGACTGTAAAGTACGAAGAAGGAGGTGCAGAATATGTCCCCAGCTATGATGAAAAGCACTTGCTTAGATGGAACGGCTACTTCGTGGACATTAAACGCGTTGAACACCATTCGTACGTCTATGAAGATCATCCCAGGGTCACCCTCCATGTTTCGTGAGGCTTCTACTATAGTTTCCTTTTCTTTGGAGTTCCATAGTGACGATTGGCTATCTTTGGCTTTCCTAGGATTTACACATGGGACCTCGGCGTGATGAGCCAGTTTGTGGAGGCAGCACGAGAACGGTACAAAGAAGCGACGAGAAATACTGTCACGGTGCACTCGGCGCGCGAGGTTCGCCAGGCCTCAACTTCATGGTGCCCCGCTTTCTCACTAACACTTCCTCCACAGAGCCGTCATCGCTTGAAATGGGCGAGCACAACGTCCAAGGCCCTGCGTCCTCTGAGCTCGATCGTTCTGAAGGAAGGCCTGATGGAGTCACTCGTCGGTGACATTCGTGAGTTTCTGGATTCGGAGGAGTGGTACAGGGGTGCTGGGATACCTTATCGACGGGGGTATCTTTTACATGGGCCGCCTGGGACGGGAAAAAGTAAGCGGCGCACTCTCTCTTCAGCTTACCAAAGTCACTAATGTTTGATCTCACGTATAGCTTCAACGATCTATGCTCTGGTATGCACCCGATTGCATCCGCCTCGTTTTAATCTGATCCTTACAAGGCCGGAGAACTAGGACTTTCAATCTACACCGTACCACTATCATCGTCGTTGTAAGCACAGAGTCGCTCAATCCCGCTATTTCCCTAATGTTGAACCACAAACCTACATAGCGTCGACGACAGCTATCTCCTACGCGCCGTATCATCGATGTCACGCAAATCGATCCTGCTGATTGAGGATATCGACTGTGCGTTCCCGTCTAGATCTCGCGAGGACGAGGACGATGTCAAGCCAGGCGCACCGCCGCCCGACTTCCTGGAATTTAATAATGCGAAGGGTGTCTCATTATCCGGGCTGCTGAATGTTATCGACGGCATTGGGAGCGAGGAAGGAGGAGTATTCTTTGCTACGGTATGTTCATCCATCATTTGGTTGTTATAATTTGATTTGAATTGTTTTGTGAATCTACTTAGACGAACTACGTCGACAGGCTCGACGCGGCGCTTCTACGCCCTGGCCGAATCGATACCAAGATTGAATACACCTACGCTACGAAATCCCAAGCCGAAGCACTCTTCAATCGGTTCTTCGGCCGCGAAAAGACACGTCGCGAGCTCAAGCTGGACGAAGACGCCGTTGCGCGTCTAGCGGCGCAGTTCGCTGCTGAGGTGCCGGAGGGTGAACTGTCTGTAGCTGAGATGCAGGGCCTGCTGTTGACATACAAGAATAATCCGACGCGAGCGATGGAGGAGGTCGGTGGGTGGGTAGCGCAGATGAGTAAGGAACGGGAGATTAGGTTGGATGGCAAGAAGGTGAAGACGTTTTCAAGTTCTTCTACGCATATGTTTCCGTTGTCAATACCAGTGGATACCGATGACGAATGCTAATATAAGCAGGTGTCCTCAAGCATGCACATGAAGACCGTACAGCCAAAAGGCGAGACAACTGAATAGATACCTATTCAGCTGGTGCATGCTATATATGTGACAGTATGAGATCTGTCGTAAGCCGGTCCAGGCTGGTGCGACCTGCGTTGCTTATATAACATAGCTTGGGAAT